ATCCATAAAATTGCAGATGAAGTGTCTGACATTGTAATAAATAAGGCCTTTGAGTGGCTTCAAAAAAAAGGAAAACATAAACACTCTAGAGTCTCACATGGGGGAAATAGTGAATAAATATCCAATAGACCATGGCACAGAAAAATATGTCTTTGTTGTACATGATTCAGACGAATTTAAGGACAAAATGGAAAAATGTTTTATGAATATGTATCATATATGTATCATTTAGCCAGCCTTCATGGTGTGTCGTACTCAGGAAAGATTAAATACTTAGATTATATAAAAGATTAAATGTTTGTTGTATCTTTGCCGTGTGGTTTAATCAATGGAGGTCCAGTTGGAATATATATTCAGTGGGATTATAAAGAATTGCGCAAGGAAAAATCACACACAAACGTCAAGGATTCATATATTGAGAAACTAGAATGTAAGCGTGATGATGACAGTAATTTACAAATTTCAATGCTTAAAAATGAAGAATACTATACAGGCTATTTTTTGCCTCTGAAGTTAGGCGAACACAATGTCCTCGAGTATGGATCCCTTTATTTAACGATGAAGAATCCTAAAGGTGAACAAATAGCTTCAACAAATCTCCGCATGGACTTGGCAAGGAATATTCACAGAATCAAGCCCTTTAATAATGACTTGAAAGCTATGCTTCCAAAAGAAAACCAAAAAGGATCAGAGATAGTTTTTAGTGATATAAACGATGAGAATAAGTAAATACTCTATTTTACCTGTGGAAGAATAGTGCACGTTAGCACTGGTTTAGTATTGCAAGCCGAAAAGAATGAAAATAATAGTAAAATTGTATTACAATACACAAACCTAGTGTCGAATCGAGAGATTTACAGAAGTGGGATGTTGAAAAAATTTATGCTAGTAGACCTTTTAAATCAAACATGAAAAAATCAAATGGATGCAAGTGTTATCACATGTCCCGAATTTTTTCAACTATTTATTTATTTGGTTACGTACGCTTTTTTAAAAATTAAAATTATCTTATTAGCACGTATTATGGAGTCTGTAATTTTATCCAGTTTCAATCTATTAAATAACAAACATTCTCACAGTCGTAAGTACTATTTTACAAAATTTTCAGAACGTCGTTTAACCGTATTAATTAATTCAGCCGGCTATAAAAGTTTTTTTTATGTGGTTAAACTGTTCAAATCCCTACTTTTTTGATAGACTAAATTGACAAAAATTGAGCAAAGATGCCGTAAGCTATAAAATAACGAGATCCCATAAAATGATAAATTTATTATTTATATTCGGAACGCAAAATTAAAATCGAATTCATGACTTCAATTACAGTATCAATTTTTCTAATATTTATATTAATAATAAATTACAAAATAACGAGATCCCATAAAATGATAAATTTATTATTTATATTCAGAACGCAAAATTAAAATCGAATTAATGACTTCAATTATCAATTTTCTAATATTTATATAGATAAATGTTTGATAAATGTTATATCTGTTTTTCTAAGTTATTTTGATGAAAATGAAAAGCAACAATTAACTTCAAGTGCATATCAGGTTGATCTATCATGTATACGTATTTTCCAAAAAACTTTATTTAAATATGCTAATTTTCTAGAGACTTATCATAACTACAAGATAAAAAATGTCATCTTATTGTGGTATCAAGATACTCAGAATTAGGATATATCTAAGCCTAGTTTAGAAATACCAACCTTTATGGCTATTCAAAGCATGTTGTTTCGAAGATGTACTGTAAGAAAATCAAGAAATTCTACATTTCAGTGTTTGAAGATAGCTCAACATTTTCTTTAATTCCTTGCTCCTGGTTCTGTTCTTCAGAATTGAGAGAATGCGAATTTAGATTTGTTGTTTCAAATAATCAAAACACGATTGTATACAATTATATTAACTTAATTTCTATAAGGAACAAAAAAATTCAAACTATATAACTGACAATCTTAAATTCTATTCTACACTTAAAATATTTAAAAAACTTTGTCAACTACAAATAGGAGGATTTGCTTATTATGATCTGCCTTATAGTAATCAAGATTATTTGAAAGCTTTAGTCAGATATTTGCCTAGCTCTTTAAAAATTCTTAACTTACTTAATATTTATGATTATAGTCATGAAAACTTGAATTATTTTTTACAAGATTTTGATGTAAAAAGTGTGAAGTTAGAGGTATTTATATTACCTTTTAATATTAAACATCTACTTCCAAATTTAAAAAAATTTATTGAAAAAGCTAAAAATCTAAGGTATATAGAAATAGTGAGAACAAAAAATTTAGAAAAACAAAAAGACAGTGAAAGAGAGATAATTGATCTTTGTCACATTAGAAATATAAAATGTATTTTAAAATCCTCAATTTGAGAGATATAAAGATTATTTAAGTACTTATGATATAGAATTTGAATCCTACATCTGAAGAATAAAATACTGTAATCATTTTGTGTTCCATTTCTAGTAATTTTTAAATCAACAAATGCATAACTCTAGGCAAAATTAAAATATAATTAAGTATAATTTCAGACAAAATTAGGCATAATTCTAGGCCAACTTTTCGCATATTAAAAAACCTTTATATAGTCACTTGTATAGTAAATAAAAAATCACGTGACTATATAAAGTATATATATATCAATATAAATTTTTTTAGGCGTTTTTTTGATTTAATATATGCATTTATTTTCAGAAAACATACATACATAAAAAAACCAGCATTATAGCTAATGCCGGCTAACTTTGTGTGTTATGTTCTTCAGGAATCTGTTTTTCAGAATATTGATACCTCTTGAACAATTTGAGGATTGCTAACTTTGTGTGTTATGTTCTTCAGGAATCTGTTTTTCGGAATATTGATACCTCTTGAATAATTTGAGGATTGTTGTTAACGAATAGATACTTATGAACGACCGTAATATCACATTTCTTCCATTTGCACTTATACATTTTTTTAAATTTGTTTTGGCTTATATATCAAAATCTGTAAATTCACTGTAATCAAGTGAATAAATGGTTTGGCATGAAATAGCCTTTTCTAGTTTGCAAATAAACGAATTTTCCATCATTTATTTAAAAAAGAGGTTAGAAAAAATTTAATATTTATGCAATTAAAGTAGAATAGTGATAGAAAAAAAATTCGGTAGTTGAATCTCGTTTATACTGTACTGTATATGGAATTTATCAGTAGGATAGGACTATTGAAACCACTGGTTTTCACTAAAAATATTTATTTTCAAAAATGCTCATGTCACCTTTTCTTACAGAAATAATACTCAAGTTTATTTTAAAGCATGCTTATTTTACTGCCGCATAATTCTCGACACCCTAGAGAAGGGATGCGATCCGTAGGATACTAAACTTAATAGTAAAATCTGTTAAATTTGGTTGAAAACGGATAACAGATCGCATCAATGGAAACATATTTATTTTAAATTTCTCATTTTAATTTTGTATGTAGGACGAATAATTTTATGGAAAAATTACAACAATGAATTAGAATGCATTTATGCTCAATTTAATTGGCGGTACTGTAACTTTAAATAAATTGGAAAATACCATATTGATATCGATATGGCGTCTATAGATGCAGACATTTGAAGACGTATGGTTACGTCCAATTGACGTGTCGTCACGTCAAAAGTGTCGTAATGACGTA